TGATCTTGTCCTGATCTTGCTGTGATCTTTCTGTGATCTTGTCCTGATCTTGTCGTGATCTTTCTGTGATCTTGTGATCTTGCGTTGGTCTCGTTGCAGATAACCTGTGCAATGGGAAGTTCCACAAACACCTGCAGGACATGTACGCGCCGCTGGTGGTGCGCTACGTAGACCTCATGGAGTCGTCCATCGCTCAGTCTATTTACCGGGGCTTTGAGCGGGAGTCCTGGGAGCCAGTCAAGTACGTGCCCACTCTCTGAATTAAAAATACATTTATATATACAGCATATTTACAATACATTTAAAACCTGAAGTCATCAGCAGCACTTGAGCCGAAAACCCTCAAACAAACAACTTTCAAATTAAGTAACCGTACAATTATTATTATTACATGTTTTAGTTATGCCTCCTATTTGACCATCTGCCATAAAGTATTACCATGCCTTACTTTGTATTGAAAATTATTTATTAATCTGAAAAATACACAGATTCAGATTTATTTATTTGCCATTTGCAGTAAATACACATTGGAATACATTTGCAAACGTCCCCAGTGTGCACCAGACAAGTACATACATAAAACAGAAATACAATATTTCAGTCTGTAATCGGCAGGATAATTAATCACAATGCATTGTTTTATAAGGTCATGTTGAAACCCCCTGACTGCACCCTCCCTTACCCCACCCCCCCTGACCCCACCCTCCCTTACCCCACCCCTGACCCCCCTGACCACACCCCGACCCACCTCCCTGACCCCCCCCACACCCCCTGACCCCACCCCCCTGACCCCACCCCCCCCTGAGCCCCACCCCCCTGACCCACCCTCCCTGACCCCACCCCTGACCCACCCCTGACCCCACCCTCCCTGACCCCACCCCCCCCTGACCCCACCCCCCCCTGACCCCACCCCCCCCTGACCCCACCCTCCCTGACCCCCACCCTCCCTGACCCCACCCCCTCCCTGACCCCACCCCCCGACCCCACCCTCCCTGACCCCACCCCCCCTGACCATACCCTCCCTGACCCCCCCACCCCCTGACCATACCCTCCCTGACCCCACCCTCCCTGACCACACCCTCCCCTGACCCCACCCTCCCTGACCACACCCTCCCTGACCCCACCCTCCCTGACCACACCCTCCCTGACCCCACCCTCCCTGACCACACCCTCCCTGACCCCCACCCTCCCTGACCCCACCCCTCCCTGACCCTGACCACCCTCCCTGACCCCACCCTCCCTGACCCCCCCCTCCCTGACCCCCCCTGACCACCCTCCCTGACCCCACCCTCCCTGACCCACCCCCCCCCCCGACCCCACCTCCCCGACCCCCCCCCCACCCTCCCTGACCACCCTCCCCTGACCCCCCTCCCTGACCCCACCCTCCTGACCCCCTCCTGACCTGACCCACCCTCCTGACCCCACCCTTCCTGACCCCACCCTCCCTGACCCCACCCTTCCTGACCCCACCCTCCCTGACCGCACCTTCCCCTGACCCCACACCCCCTGACCCCACCTTCCCCGACCCCACCCTCCCTGACCCCTCTGACCCTCTGACTCCCCTGAAAAAAAGATTTGGCGATCTCAGAGGGACTATCCTGTAAAATAGACAAATACTTTATTGATCCCTGAAGGAGAAATTCAGGTGTCCAGCAGAAGACGACTCATCCAGGTTCGTTGTACAGTCTGACAGCCGAAGGAACAAAGGATCTCTTGAAACGTTCTGAAAAACAAAATAAAGGTCTAAAGACAAAGACTAAGTTGTACTCTGTGAAAACCTACAAACTTGGAATATTTAGTATTTTATCATACTGTATTTTTATATTATTTATTAACGTGTTATGTTATTTATTATTTATTATATTATTATTATATTATTTTTACTAATATTCAAGTTATTACAATATTATTTATTGTAGAATAAGCCAGGATCGGAATTATCACAATACACTGCAAAAAGTGATGACAAAAAGGGCAAAATGTAACTTAATTTGAGAAAATTCTGACGGAGCCTTAAAACAAGATTTGCCAATGGGACAAAGCAAAATTATCTTGTTTTGAAAAGATTTTAAAAAATGTCTTTTTTGAAATAAGAAAAAAAAAAGTAACAGTAATGTAAAAGGCTTTGTCCCATTGGAAAATCTTGTTTTAACACAGTCAGAATGAGTCAGATTAATATAGAAACCACTAGATATAAGCTTTTAAAACCTAATTTCATCACTTTTTACCATGTACAATAAGATTCGGGATAAGATTGTATTTCCCCATTTCTCATTTAAGTTTGTCAGCCTTGTGCACGTCTTCACAGGACTATAACAAGCACTCTGCCCAGTGTCAGTCTCCAAATGCCCAAAGTCCCAGATCTCACGTTGCCAAGTGTTAACCTCCCACAAATGGCCAGCTTCACTGCAGCCAACTGGACGACAGCTCCCGGTGACGCAGAGTGTGTGTGCACGCGCTCGCTCACGCACACGTCCTTGGCACGAGCGTGGCAGCCCATCATCGTAGACGCTAATGAGGCTCAAAGTCCGAGAGGAGACTAACATGTGCCGTACTAAAAGTGACACCGCGGCTTCCAAGTCCATTTACATACTTAACGATATTCAGTTAGTAATCTGTTATGGAGAATAGGCATGTCCGTTTCAGCACCACTTTAACAATTTCACATTTGCATTTTCTTTGAGCCAAATGTAAGTTTATGCATGAAATTTGACTGTTTGGGTTTTCTTCTGTGATTAAAATTAATAGATTGTAAGGAATTAATAACCAAGCTCTAATTCAAAGAGCTTTTTTTGATATAGCACATTTCATACAGGACTTCAAAGGCAATGCGGAGAAAAGTGCACAGTCTAAGGATAAGAAAGTCTAAACAACACTTTTTTATTATTATGCAGAGTGTTCCATTTACAACGAGCATAACGGGAGAAAACTGCTTCTCCTAACAAAGTGACATTCACAGTTTTATAGGGAATTTAAATAGACTGTAGATATTACCAGACGTAGTCACGCTTATCTCCGTCGTTGAAACTAAAATCCCATCACTTTTGCCTTCTGTGGCTCTTTCAAAATGGCCGCGGGGCAGGACAATGTGACAAAAGGCAATTTGCACATGAGCCCCTTTCATTTAATGAATGCATTCTGAAGTCCACAGCGGTTAAACTAGACTGGTCCAAACAAAATCCTCCCCTCAGCATCGACAGAATCTGGAATGTACTGCTGGACCAAGAGACACTTTTGGACTGTCCTGTAAACAAGTTTTCAAGAGGAAAGATGACGCCATAAAAGAGCATTGGGTAATTCTCTTTCCGGGTACACCCCCACTACCGGCAAGGAGTGAGATTGCAGCATGTCAACGCACATGCTCATGTGCTCATTTAAAAACGTGACGGTATACTTTTCAAATGACTGCAATGCAATCTCACTCCTTGCCGGTGGGGGTGTACCCGGAAAGAGAACTATCCAATGCTTTTGTATGGCAGCTTCTTTCCACTTGAAAACCTCCTTGGTCCAAAAGTGGCTCTTGGTCCAAAGCTACGTTCCAGATGCTGATGATGCTGAGAGGAATTTATTTTGTTTGGACCAGTCTAGTTTAGTCGCTGGGGACTTTTGAATGCACTCGTTAAATGGATCGGGCTAGTGCAGCTAACACATGCGCTAATGTGTTTTTTCATATTTTCCAGCCCCTTTTTGAAAAAACCACAGAAGCCAAAAGAGATGTCACATTAGTTTCAACAGCAGAGATAGAAGGGACTACATCTGTTCATATTTACAGTCTATGAGAGAAGTAAAACTTATTGGACCCGATCTCTGAGGAAAAAGTCAATAATATCTGCTTTCTTGTTCAATTATCAAACAATAGAATAATACAAGTTAACACGGGGAAAACCATATGGAAGTAATAATCAAAATAAAAAAGAGAAAAAAAATATATATAACAGACATCTAGGCAAGGCAAGGCAAGTTTATTTGTATAGCACAATTCATACACAAGGCAACTCAAAGTGCTGAACAAGATAGCATTAAAATCATAAATAATCACAGAACATTAAAAAGAAAGATAAAAATATAAAATCCCTCAGTTGTAGCACAGCTAAACAGCACAGTTTTTAACTTGGTTTTAAACATAGTCAGAGAGGAGGCCTGTCTCACATCCTCAGGAAGAATGTTCCAGATTTTAGCAGCATGAATCTGAAAAGCAGCCTTCCCATGTTTAGTTCTGACTCTGGGCACTAACAGGAGTCCAGTCCCTGTGCTCCTCAGAGTCCGGGCTGGTTCATATGGGACTAACATGTCACTAATATATTTTGGTGCGAGGCTATGGAGAGACTTGTAAACAAGCAGAGCTGTTTTAAAGTCTATTCTCTGAGCCACAGGAAGCCAGTGCAGGGACCTGAGGACCGGACTAATATGGTCGTACTTCCTGGTTCTAGTCAGGACTCAGGCTGCTGCATTTTGAATGTACTGCAGCTGTTTTACAGCCTGTTTGGACAGACCTGTGAGCAGGCCATTGCAGTAGTCTAACCTACTGGAGACAAATGCATGGATAAGACTCTCCAAGTCTGCTTTAGACACTATGTTTTTGATCCTGGAAATGTTTTTTAGATGGTAAAAAGCTGCTGATGTTACTGATTTGATGTGGCTATTAAAATTTAAGTCTGAGTCCAGTATTACCCCTAGATTTCTGACCTTGTTTGAAGGTTTTAGGGAGAGAGACTGTAGATGACAGATGACGCTCTCTCTTTGTTTCTGGGGACCAAAGACAATCATTTCAGTTTTGTCTGCGTTTAGCTGAAGGAAGTTGTTTTGCATCCACTCACTGATCTGTTGGATACAGTGAAGGAGTGAGTCCACTGGTCCATGTTCTCCTGCAGTCAGTGAGACATAGATCTGAGTGTCGTCTGCATAGTTATGATAGGAAACTTCGTTTCTGCGTATTAACTGACCTAACGGCAGCATGTAGAGATTGAAAAGAAGAGGTCCCAGGATCGACCCCTGTGGTACTCCACAGGTCAGGGCCACATACCGCCATGCGCGGACGCGCGCGAGGCTCAGCGCGCACTCGCAGAGCAAGTACTGTGTATGGAACGCTTATACCCGGACTCTCTGATTATTATCCTGGGGGATTTTAATAAGGGAAACTTGAGCCAGGAATTACCCAAATACAGACAGTTTATCAAATGCCCGACCAGAGAGGAGAACACTCTGGATCACTGTTACACCACCGTGCGCGGAGCTTTTCGCGCTGTTCCCAAGCCAGCCCTCGGCTTCTCAGATCACTCCATGATACATCTGGTTCCTGCTTACAGACAGAGACTAAAGCTCTCGAAACCTGCAGTGAGGAGCTCCAAAGTGTGGTCTGATGAAGCTGTGGAAGAGCTGCGCGCATGCATGGAATCTACAGACTGGGACCTTTTCAGAGCTGCCACAGACAGCTTGGATGAATATACGGACACTGTGACGTCATACATCCACTTCTGTGAGGATAGCATCATTCCAACAAGGACCAGGGTCATCTATAACAACGACAAACCCTGGTTCACTGCTAAACTCCGGCAGCTCAGGAAAGCAAAGGACTCTGCTTTCAGGGAGGGGGACCGCAGCGGCTACAAAGCAGCTAAATATCAGTTCAGGAAAGAACTGAAAGCAGCCAAGTCCCGGCACAGAGAACGACTACAGGAGCAGTTTGGTAACAACGATACTGCTTCTGTCTGGAGGGGCCTATGGGAGATCACCAACTACAAACCCAAAGCCCCCCCCTGTGCTGATGACCACAAGCTAGCTGACGATCTGAACTTATTTTTCAGTCGCTTTGATGCTGCCCCTGACACCTCTCCCTCCCCCACCCCCCACTACTCTAACGACCCACCCATCAGCCCTGCCCCCAGCCTAACAATAGCCGCTAAAGATGGCGCCTCGTACGGTCGACATGGCTCTTTGCTGCTCTCTTTTTCTTTTGTTTTTACTTTTTAACTGTGCATCTGGCTGTTCCTACACCCGTGAGGAACTTATGAACATCCGACCCACCGTTCCCATGGACCTAATTCCTGTTTTCTTGGCATCTGCGGCTGATTTAGTTCATGTTCTAGCCAAAAAAGTGTGGGCCCGTAAAAGGGGAAAGCGAGGAGGCCTGCTCGTGCGTCTTAGGAGGAGAGGAGCGCGCACGGCTCTCCCCGGCATTTTTCTCTCCAACGTACGCTCACTGGGCAATAAGATGGACGAACTCAGCCTGCTCATGAGAAGAAACAAGGACTTCGCCACATCCTGTGTCCTCTGCTTCACTGAGACCTGGCTAAATGAGCGGATCCCGGACTGCGCTCTGGAGCTGCAGGGCTTTGGGCTGTTTCGCGCGGATCGCCATTGTGCGCTCTCAGGGAAGAGCAGAGGCGGAGGGCTCTGTTTCTACGTCAATACAAACTGGTGTAACGATGTGACAGTGATCTCCAAGCACTGCTCTCCTGCTCTGGAATATCTTTTCATTCATTGTAAACCATATTACTCCCCGCGGGAAATTGTTTCATTCATTCTTGCCTCTGTTTACATACCGCCATGCGCGGACGCGCGCGAGGCTCAGCGCGCACTCGCAGAGCAAGTACTGTGTATGGAACGCTTATACCCGGACTCTCTGATTATTATCCTGGGGGATTTTAATAAGGGAAACTTGAGCCAGGAATTACCCAAATACAGACAGTTTATCAAATGCCCGACCAGAGAGGAGAACACTCTGGATCACTGTTACACCACCGTGCGCGGAGCTTTTCGCGCTGTTCCCAAGCCAGCCCTCGGCTTCTCAGATCACTCCATGATACATCTGGTTCCTGCTTACAGACAGAGACTAAAGCTCTCGAAACCTGCAGTGAGGAGCTCCAAAGTGTGGTCTGATGAAGCTGTGGAAGAGCTGCGCGCATGCATGGAATCTACAGACTGGGACCTTTTCAGAGCTGCCACAGACAGCTTGGATGAATATACGGACACTGTGACGTCATACATCCACTTCTGTGAGGATAGCATCATTCCAACAAGGACCAGGGTCATCTATAACAACGACAAACCCTGGTTCACTGCTAAACTCCGGCAGCTCAGGAAAGCAAAGGAGTCTGCTTTCAGGGAGGGGGACCGCAGCGGCTACAAAGCAGCTAAATATCAGTTCAGGAAAGAACTGAAAGCAGCCAAGTCCCGGCACAGAGAACGACTACAGGAGCAGTTTGGTAACAACGATACTGCTTCTGTCTGGAGGGGCCTACGGGAGATCACCAACTACAAACCCAAAGCCCCCCCCTGTGCTGATGACCACAAGCTAGCTGACGATCTGAACTTATTTTTCAGTCGCTTTGATGCTGCCCCTGACACCTCCCCTCCCCCACCCCCCACTACTCTAACGACCCACCCATCAGCCCTGCCCCCAGCCTAACAATAGCCGCTAAAGAGATTAAACAACTCTTCCTGAGGCTGCACCCCCGCAAAGCTCCTGGCCCGGACCACGTGTCTCCGGCCACTCTGAGA